GTAATACGATTAATATTTGATTAAAATTATTTCAATAATCTTTGCTCAAAGTCTATTAATTACTTCAATAGTTTTGAGAAGTGAAATAACAGAAGGGAAAATGAATAAGTGAAATAAAGTAATAATTGTAAAAACCAAATGGAAAAGGAGAGGGAGGGAAAAAAAAATTGAAAAGGTGATTAATTATTTAAGAAGCGTAGAATATTACGCGGTGCAATTACTTAAAAGCATTGCCATCATCATCATCATCATCATCATCATCCGGTCTAATTCATTATCCGGTCTAGGCTAAAGTATCAAGGGTAGTATTCAATTCGTGATGTAAAATTATGTTGTGGAAACAATTTGTTGAGAATGATATTTGATGATTTTAGCTTTTTTATTTCTTCGCTTTACAAATGCATATTTTTATGCATGAATAATCGATTTTGTCAAATGAAAATTTATTTGATTGATAAAATTTAAAAATCCTAAATTGCTTTAACTTTAAGAAATTTATTAATTAATTAAGAAACTTCAAAATCAGTAAATAATAATTATATGAGCAAATATATAAAAAGTTCACTTTTTTTTTCTTCATCATCACAATTTCAATCAAAAATATTTGATAGATTGTTAAACATTTCCAAATATTTTTATTGCTTATTTTAAATATTGTATAAAAATGATTTTATTAGTTTGTACATTTTATCGTATCCATTGCCATTTGTTACAAATGATAAATTCAAATGATAGTTTGCTTGCAAATTAAAATTATAAATTGAAATTTCAGAATTTTAATAATGTTAATTTTCCCATATATGCTAACAAAATTATAATTCGATGAATTCAATTTGTGCCGGTTGTTCGGTCCAAATTCGTGATCGATATATGCTACAAGCAGTTGGCAAATTTTGGCATGAAGATTGTCTGAAGGTGAATTTAGCGCTATCATTTAAATTTCAATTTGTTAATTGGTATTGATGATAAGTTAAAAATTTTAAATTGAAAAGAAAAAATGATAAAAAAGGACATTAAACTTTTTTTAGGAATAGAAAAAAAAA